GAGGGAATTTGGGTTGCACAAATACAATATCATTATTATGCAACTCTCAAAGTATCCAAGAATATCTGGGATTTTTTGAGATTTTTTAAATTAAGCCTGTAGGATATTTGCAAACTGACATTAAGGCATAGATATTTTTGAGCACGGAAATAATTTCAGAGACATCACAAAGGGAGAGAACTGTGGTACTGAGAAATAGATATTTATTCATACTTCTATGCTGGCATACAATTCCTAAGCTCCTTGCTATCTCCAAAATGATCCTGTTTTTTGCATATTAATGAGTTAACTGAGGACTGGCAGCCCTTAGGTAGATTCAGGCTAGGAGCTGGTTGCCAGAAACACCAAGGCCGGGTTATAGGGCTGCGACTTTCAGCCCAGGAAGGGAGGAGGGGCGAAGGTTCAGTTGATCAATCATGACTATAAAATGAGGCCTCCACGAAAACCCAAGAGCACAGGGCTCTGAGGGCTTGGAGATGGCTTCCTCCTAGAGGATCAGGAAGAGTAGCTTGACCCTAAGAAGTCATGGGAGGCCCACGCCCGTCTCCATCCCTCCTCTTCTGCATCTCTTCATCTGTATCCTTTCTTAGCATTCTTTGTGATAAGCAGATAAATGTAAGATAGATGAGTTCTGTGAGATTTTCTAGCAAATTAAACACATCCCAATTTGTAGCTAGTCATTAAGGAAGAAAATGAAAATGGAGACGCACTGGTTGAGAGCACTTAGAATGGAGTCAGGAGGCCATGATTAGTCAGACCACAGACAGGTCCACAGCTGAACCTTTACATGAGCGGCAGACAGTTCCTCCCAATACACACACACCCCAAGCTGACCTTTGGACGGGGCCAGAGCACAATTTCCTGAAACACTGTTAACCTCCTCTGCCTTTCCTACAAGGGCCCCTTCCCCAAATTACCCAGAGACTGAGATAGCAACCAATCCCTTTCTTCCAAGGCAGCTTAATATCTGCTGGTGACGGCCAAGTGGTGCAATTTCCAACCTCCCCTGGGCCTACATCTATACATATAGCTACCATTTTGTAAAACCTTGCAGCACACATTCAAGATTGCTTGGATGTGTATTTTCTCACATTGCAATCTTAATTAGTCCAAAATAAATGTATTTTTTTTTTTTTTTGCTTTTATGAACTTGACTTTTCTTCATTGGACAGTCAGAAGTTTCAGGGGCCTGACTTGCCACTTGAAGTGGGAACAGTGTTGGGGAGAGCACTCAACCTTCAGGATGAGCCCCTATCTCCAAACTGACTTGAACTGAAGGACACCCAGCTGGTGGCTGCTGCAGAACTGATGGCTTGCTTGCTGATGGGGAGAAACCCTCACACTTTTCAAGGTTCCAGAAGTCTTCTGTGTTGATTGGTAGGATGTAAGAACAGAGGAAAAACAGTTTTCTTTCCTATAACGGCCTAATGGACATATGGAATTCCAGCAGGCAAAGGTGAGAGAAGCAGATCCCAGAACCCGGGAAAACTACAGAGGAGTGGAAACAGTCAGAGTGACATGATCCATATGAGCCTAACAGCCATTGAGGCCTTTGAGGTAGCCCCATGAGAGCCATAGAAAGGAGATTAGGACTGTTGGAAAAATCAAGACCCTATTTCAAAAAGACCCGACACAAAACAGGGCTGACAGAGTGATCAAGTGGTAGAGCACCTGACTAGCAAATGAGAGGCTCTGAGTTCAAACTCCTACATTGCCAAAAAAAGATGATCTAGAAGGCCATTGAAACACTGTCATGAGGGCTGAACCAGGTCATATAAACAATAAAAAGAAGAAGCTGACTCTAGATGTGGGAGGTATGGTTTATTAGCTGAGTTGAACTCCTTAAAAATGACAGTCACAACACTGGTTAACTGATAATCCCAAGCCCACCAAAGTGATGTCAAATGTTGAATGGGTAAATGAATGGATGACTACAACAACAGACGTGTCATGGGGAGGAAGAAAGGTCAAGGATGGTGAATTGTTAAGTATCGCTGATTACCTGATACTCTCCCCTCACCCCTACTACACACAACCCTAATGAGGGAGCATCCTGGCTACCCCCTCCTGCCTCTGGCTTTCATGTTTGAGGCTCCATCTGTGTGGGAATGGCCCTCCCACCTCCATCTCACATCTGTACTTGAGGAAGTTGCTTAAACACTGAAAAGCGAGAATGCTCAACTGCATGGCATGGTATTGTGAAATATATATATTAGGCCTTCCTGGCATCCAAATCCTAAGATCCTTGAAATCTCTGAAGCGATCCTTTGTGTTTGCATGTTAGTGAGTTGTCTGAGGGCTGGCAGCCCTAGGGTAGCTTCAGGTTGGGGCTGGTCACCAGAAAGACCAAGTCAGGAGTCTAGGGTCAATGTTTTCAGTTCCATAACCCCCCTCTCAACCTCCAGAGAGGGAAGAGGGGCAGGAGGCTCAATTGATAGCTAATGCCAATGATTTAACCAACCATGCCTATGAAATGAAGTCTCCATAAAAACCCAACAGAACAAGGTTCAAAGAACTTCCAAATAGCTGAACACATAGAGGTTCATGGAGGCAGCTCAGTCCAGAAAGGTGCGGAAGCGCTACACCCATCCCACATTCCTCATCCTCTGCATCCTTTATAGACAGGGTTTCAGGGAACCCTGCTTTATAGCTGGTCAGTCAGAAGCACAGTAAAACAACCTGGGGCTTCCAGTGGCATCTGAAAGAGGAGGGTTTGGGGATAGAGCTCTCAACCTGTGGATCTGACACTGTCTACCTGTAGATAGAACTGAATTACAGGACTTCCAACTGGTATCTGTTGCAGAATGAATGGCCTGCTTGATGTGGGAGAAACTCCCACACATCTGATATAGAAGGGACTGGTATTGTGAGAGTACAGTAGGAGAAACAAAGTCTGGGTTTGGTTTTGGTTTTTCTACTTACAGGGATTTCAGAACCCAGAACATAGGCCTGGGAGATGGTGCTCATTTTGTGTTGCAGAATTTCAAGCACATCTGCCAGGAATGAGATTCCTTGGCCTCTAGGACCTGGGAGATGTTTCCTTCTGAATAAACTATGACCCTTGCCACTCCTGAGCATACGCCATGAGAACAAAGGGTCGCATCTTCTCAGGTCATGTCCTTGTTTGTCCCTGATCCATGTCAAGTGCTCCACTCACAGACTGAGTTTCAGATATGATGAACCACTCTTTCCTCCCAAGTGCATAAATCAGAAGGTGAAGTATGGTAATCAGAAGGTGAAGCCACCAAGAGCAGCGATGGAAAGCAGTGGACTTGGAGGTGACCCACAACCACTTTCTGTTAGGCTATACTATTTTCTAAAATTTCACATTTTAGAAGTTGTAAACCACTTTGACTTGAACTTTGACTAAAATATTGTTTTCTCCCTTGTAGTTCACTTCAGTTAAGTCTTCACTGTCTTTAACCAGAGAAAAGATCTGTTCAACTTAAATGAAACAGGTCTGAATTAATGTGTTACCATAAATGTTTCTGTACTTTGAGACTTTCTCCCACTGCTTCTACATTCCAAAGTGACATTGCATCCTCTGAGGTAAATATTTGGGTTAACTATAATTTATATGATCAGAAGATGCCTTCACGGCATCCCCCCCTGCTGTGGTCACCATCCCCACTCCACCCACCCTTCCTGATGGCTCCTCACCTGTGGATAAGAGTGAAAGGCTCCACCCAGATCGTTCACACACCAAGCTCAGCACCCAGCCGGGACTCCCATGCTTTCCCCATCACTCCTTCTTGCTTTCCTCCCCACCTGCAGAGCAGCACCTCTTGCTCACTCAGTGTGCATTAGCACTAGCCTCCCCCACACACCCCTGAATGTGCTGGGAAGAGCAAACACCTGACTGCCCTGCTTTTTTGGGTAGCCTTGTACTCTGCATGATGTCTGGTCAGTAGTAACAGGTCATCAGTGGAAAGTGGTGGCGTGAATAACTCCACCACTAATTATGCCATAACTAGTAAGAAAAAAATGATACCAACAAATCCTCTTTGCTTTCCTACAACTGAACATGAGGCAGAAGAGACCTTAGCAGCTATGGCACCACAGCCAAGTAGAAGCAACAGGGCTTCCTGAGGGCTTGGTCCTCTCACCAAGCTGTGGCCCTGAAGGTGAATGACTGCTCTCATCCTCTGCCAGCAGCTCCATCTTGCTCTGTTTTTGCAGGTCTGAACAGAGAGGCGTCCAGCAGCTTCTCTCCTCTTTCCTCTTCATCTTGCTTCCTGCCAGCACCCTCCACCCCTTCTAGCCCAGCGGCTTCTCTGACCTGCTTTTTTCTCTGGCCTTTGCCTTTTTCCTCCTCATTCATGGGACTTCTCTGCCTTTGGGTGACTCATGATCCTCGATAGTGTAACTTTTTCTCCCTCCTTACTCCTCCCATCTCTTAGACTTCTGAGTAACAGGAACCTGGGTGTCCAGAGCTGACTGCACAAGCAATGGCGTTTGTGGACCTTCTAAACTGACCCAGGAAAGATTCAAGCTAACATGGGCCACAGCAGCCTGCTGAAATTAGGGTGTTAGTCCCGAATTCCCTGGGGCCAACTTGAATGAGGAAGGAAAGGGGCCCTCCTGCCTGTGTTCAGGTGTCTGAGGGCAGCCATATTACTTAATTCTCAAAACCCCAGAAGATGCCGAAGTGAGGCACTGACAGGTGCCTTAAGTGTTCACTGTCCTTGGCCTGTGGGATGGAAAGCCTGGTCTTTCTGTTCTTCTATCGGTTTATTTCCAAACAGGCTTTCCACGCCTAGAAGGAGCATATAAAAGTTGGTTTCTTTGCCAGCTGGACTTTGTTGTTTAACTCTCAAGCATGGTAAACCTAAAAAGCCCATTCCCTCTCCCCAGGGAGGTTCCCAGAAATCTGCTGAGATGGCCTGTTCTCTGCCCTGCTTAGTTCTGGCTTCCCAAAGCCAGCGTGTTGCCCAACTCCATGTGCAACCCGCGAAGACCCGGGCTCAGGCGAAGGATGCGCGGGGCTGGCGACGACTTACCTGCGCTGCGAGCGGGGCTGGGAGCCGGGCGGGCCCCCGCCGCGGGGAGGAAAAGCAGCGGCTTGGGCTCTGGGACGCGGGCTGCTCGGCGCCCCCGGGGCCTGGCCTGGGTCCCCTGCGGGGACAGAGCCAGCACCAGCAGGAGGATGGCGGGCAGCGGGGCGCCTGGCTTGGCTGGCCGCATGTCCTTTGAGCCTGGAGAAGAGCAACAGGCACAGGGGGTGCTGAGGCGGGGCCGCAGGATCCGCAGCTCACGAAAGGGGGACCCGGAGTCCGCACAGCCCGCCTGCCTCGTCGGCGTCCCCAGGGCGTCGCGCTGGAGCGGCAGTGGGACTTGTCCGGGCGCGTGCCAAGGTCTATGCGCCTCGGGGCGCGGGGCGGGACGGGAGGCGGGGCGGCGCCTGGGGACCGCGGGGTCGTCCCGGGGATCGGGCGTGTCTCAGCAAACTACTAACGCCCCAAGGTCCGGTCACTGCCTTTGTCGCTGTCCCTGGTGTGTGTGCGTGTGGAGGGGGGTGGGGGACTAGGCATTGGTTCCTCGCCGCGTCTCCCAGCCCGTGTTCCGGAGCTCGGTCTCCCTGCCACAGTCTGTGGGTCGCGGTCACGGCCTCCTGAGGCAGGCTGGGTCACTAGAAGCCGCGACTTCCAGGTCTGGACAGACGAACAGACAGAAGCGACGCGGGGTTTCGGCCTGGGGCTGGCGGAAAGGTGCGGAGTTTGCCAAGAGCTTCGCTTCGTCCCCAAGCATGGCCATCGGGGCGCATCCACCGCCCTGTTCCAGCCCACGAAGCCCAATCTGCCCCTGGGTCGGGACCGACCCGCGGTGGGGACGGAGCCGAGGACTCAGGAGGTCGCGGGCTCTGCACAGTGGACCGCAGAGGCTGAGCTCTGAGCCCCCCGCCTGGCTGGGGTGCCACTGGGAGTCTTCAGTTTGGGCGCTTCTAAAGGTGACACAGCCAAGATGCACCAGTACTCCCAAAACGCAGATGGTTGTTTTTGTTTTTTATTCTGATATACTGATAGGTTTTTTAGTCACTGAACTTCTTTTTATGTTTAACCCACTTGAAAGAATTTACCAAATAAATTTGAAATATTATATTTATAAAAGTGAAATCCTAGCTAGAGGTGGTGGCCAAGATCACAGGCCTGTGGTCCCAGCTATTTCAGAGGGGCAAAAGCCTGGCACCCTATGTGAACACCAATTCCTGGTAGGTTCTGCTGTGCTCATTGCCCTCCCAGTCCAAGAAGTATGGCTCTAACTTCAAAAGTGCACCTGGAGTCAGGCAGGTCTAAAAGCTCTAGCGTGGCCAGGTGCAGGGTGGAACCAAACTGGATGAGCAAAGCCTGCAGGCCTAGCCCAGGCCTGACCTGGAAGTTATGGAACTCTTATCCAAAAGTTTTGGTAATACTAATAAAAAAAAAAAAGATGAAGTCCACTCGTTCTCATTAAAATAAAGTGATCATTTCTGATGAACCTGTGCTATGGTTGTGGTTTTAGTAATTTCATCCTCCTGATTTATTGCTGTATATTAAATATATTGAGAAGTGTTAAAATTAGCTATCAACTGATTCCTAGTGATAATCTCATGCAAAGTGACAAATATGTGAAAGAAAGGAAGAAGGAATAACAAGGGCAAGGGAGGCCCCATTGCTTATTAGAGGCTGACCAATGTCAAATTTCTTCTCAAACAGATCTTGTCTGCCACAAACTGAAACATGATCCCAACTCCTTCAAAGAGTTGTGCTACATCTGGCATTTTTAACCTGCCCAGGAAATTGAGGGAGTGGAATAAGCCTCTAGGAGTCCTATCCAGTCATGCCTCTGAATGAAACTCCTAAGGAAGTTCCACCATGCAGGTTCCAGAGTCCTGCATGGTAGTGCATGCCTGTAGTTACACAGTTGAAGACTTTCACTTAGGGTCGCTTTACTATGACAGTCACATAAAACACCATGGCAACATAAGAGTGGTTTCCATGTGCACACAAGGAAAAGCCTCAGAGAAAAAAATATTCAAAGTCTCCAAAGCTTCTAGTTAGATGGAATAAACTTTTTCTCACAGCTCTACTCAGGTAAAATTAGGGCACATTAGAAGTTCACAGATATTAATAAGAATTTCAAATTTTAATTTTTATTAGAAATATAAATTGGAGCTACTCTGAAAACCAACGGAGTAGATGTAAATAATGCCACAGAGAGGTGATAGGGAAACTACAGAAACAGGCCCCAAATCAGCTATCAGGGAAAAATAAAGCCTGGAAACTGGATTACTGTCTTGATTTCTATATGATGAAAGCGGAGAGAGTAAACAAATGAACTTTTCAGAACTTGATGGTTTGGGCTCTGCTTTGTGCTCAGGTGCTGGTGATTTGAGCCCAAGCAAGCCACGTAGCCTCAATATTCTCTCTTGCAAAGTGAAGATAATGAACTTCAGTGACACTGTGTTGTAGGCAGGGCAGGGTGGTGGAAGAATGCAGATTCCAGAGTCCTGCATGGTGGTGCACGCCTGTAGTTCCAACCACCCCAGAGGCTGAGGCAGAAGGATCACTTGAATTACAGGACAGTCTGGGCAACACAGTGAGACGCCATCTCAAAAGAGATTTTAAAAAAGTAGATTTCCATGTTCCTAGTGAACCAGTTCCACAAGGAAGACCCATGAATTTGAATGTAGGGAACTCTGGGTAGTTCTGAGGTAAGTGGTCTTTGAAAACCACTTTTATTCATTCAACACAAATTACTTGAAAGCAAATTACAAGGCCAGACACATCGGAAGACAGTGGAGTTGCACCAATGGGGTGACAAAATCCTTGTCTTTGTGAAGACAGACTCCGCTGTCCAGCACAATAATTGTAGCATGAAGAAACAAGCTGCATATAGCCACGTGAGTCTTTGTTTTGTTTGTTGTGCATCATTCTTCTTACTGTCCCTGTAAGAGGTACTGAAACTGCTTTTGCTGAGAAGCACTGACTCTTTACTTAGGTCCAAGAATTCACTAGAAGCAGAAGAAAGGGTGGCATCTCTGTCTCCATTTTGTGTCTGTCCTTGCTCTGAGCCACTCATCTTGCAGCCTCCTTGGAATCCATGAAGGACAGGACTGAAGGATAATGCATTTATGAGGGACAGAGACTATTGCCTCTAAGAAAAGGAGCAGTGGAATGTGCACAGGACCCATGCCAGGCAACAATGACTTGCTTATCCTGACCAGATTGCTTCCCACAAGTGATACAGGCATAACAGTTTCCCAGAATCCTTCCCGAAACCTGAAATAATAACGAACCAGGTCATACCCCACTATGACAAGAACTGCTTAACTGTGCCTGCCTCTCACCCCCGATACAGTTCTTCCTGTATTTAAACTTAAAGCTCATACCTGTGCGCCAACGACTAGTTGAAGCATTCACTTTGCCTTTTCCTGTGCTGTGCCCACATTAGAGTCAGGCATCAGGGTCTCGCCCTGTGGCTCCTGCATGAAAATAATGGCTGGTGGTGCTTGGATCTGTGACACCATTTCGTCAGCGTGTTCGGGTCTGGGTCAGAAGACTGAAGAAAGTGCAAAACCAATAGAAGTCCCACTAGGGGAAACAACCCTGGCTTACAGTAGATGGGTCCAGTTATGTAACAACCCAAAGAATGTATAACACAGACAAACTCTAGTAAACATTTCAACCTGTAATCACAAATTTAATACTGTTGATTTTCTCAAACATTTCCCAAAGCAGAATTTTAAAAGGTATAAACATTAAAAAATTCATTGCTACATCATAGCTTCCCCAGTTTTTTTGTGTTGTTTTTTACTGTGCTGGGGATCAAACCCAAGGCTTCCCATATGCTAGACAAATGCCCTACCATTGCTCTGTATCCTTGGTTCCAACCAAAATTAATTGATAGTATTAACCTAGTTTTTTAAAAACACATCATCTCTGTACGTTCTTAGACAACACGATTAATTATTTGAACAGGATGAATGGAAGTCCTGCTTCAGGTCAGCTTATGTTACTGATCTGGGGTTATCTGCTGGAAATTCTAGTCCTTGACTCAATGATGAATTTGGACAGCAACTAAAAACCTGGGAGGGCTTCTATGGTGATAGAACCACATTGTGAAGGTTTATAGTAACAAAACCTTCACATCCTTGTCTCTCCTGGAACTTAGTGCATTACATTACATGCAGCTTTTCTTTTTAATTGCAATATTTTACACAGTTTTTCTTTTCTGATTTTTTTTTTGTGGTATTGGGATTTGATCTCAGGGCTTTGAGTTTGCTAAGCAGGCTCTCTACCACCTGAGTCACACTCCCAGCCCTTTTTGCTTTACTTGTTTTTTTAATAGGATCTTGAAATTTTGCCTAAGCTGACCTAGACACGATCCTCCTATTTATAACTCTCTCATAGCTGGGATGACAGGGGAATACCATCACACCAACTTATTGGTTAAGACGAGGTCCCTCTAACTTTTTGCTCTGGCTGCAATCCACTCAATTTCTGCCTCCCAAGAAGGTGAGATTACAAGCTTCAGCCACAATACTAGGCCCCTTACACATCTTTTAAAATAATTTATTTCACAACTTTTTAACGCCAGTTTTTATGGAATTTTACACACACACACACACACACACACACACACACACACACACACAGGTTGCAAAGATTGTTACTGACTGATTTGGCGTAAACTTAATACACAAATAGGGTGAACTGATCAATATATGAAATTTTTTATAAACATGATTTCTAAAATAATGTATGTATTATACCATATATTTCCCTCCTTTTCTGCCATGCTGGGACTTGAACCAAGGGCCTCTCACATGCTAAGCAAGTGCAGTACCACTGAATTACATCCCCAGTCCTAGTTCCCCCTTTTTGAGTAACATTAAGAATTAATATAAATTATTTATTTCATTTTCATGTTTGCTATAGTTGGATCTTGAATGCCTCCCTCCCCCAAGGCCCATATGTTGAAGGTTTAGAATTATTATTTGGAGATGGTAGAAACGTTAGGAGGTAGACCCTGGGGAAGGAAGTTAAGTCACTAAGAGCATGACCATGAAGGGGATTATGGGACCCTGGCCCCTCCTCATTCTCCCTTTCCTATCCTGGATGCCATGAGGTGCCATATACTCCCACCATGATGTGCTGCCTTGCCTAAAAGGAATGGGCCAGTCAACTCATAGAATTGAATTTCAT